TAAGATTTTAATGTAAAAAATCAGCATACATTTGATATATTAGCAAAGACTTTCTAATATGGAACTACTGTTGCTGAGCACTGGAAGAAGTCTTCCAAGGAGACTGTAAATAAACTTTAGGGGTTTTGCTGTAAACTCACAATTAAGTGTCTTTTATTTTGATATTTCATGTAAGTAAATAATACTGTCTAAACTTAAATCACATATGCCTTAATCTAAAACTTCATTTTTCAACCTGAGAACGTTTATATTGTATCTACATATTAAATCCCTTCACATAAAATCTTGATTACATTCAACTAAATGTTGATCACATTCAACTAAAAAACTTTAGAAAACTTTTTTTTTTTTTTTTTTAAACAAGGTATTTCTGTTCTGCAAGACAATAAATTTCGTCTTTTGACACAAATGTCTGCAGGAAAGCAGTATTTAGAACATGCACCAAAGGTACCCTTCAGTTTTCTCCTTGGGATCTACCAGTTTGATTTGTATTCTCTTCGTCTATTAATAATAACTTTGAATTTTGTAACTGAGTGGATACAAACTCTTCAAAAGGGCGGGTAAAGGTTAGTCTCAGAAATGGTCATAGTTATGTAACTTGCTGCTGTTGTGTTTTGAGTTGCCTGAGTGGATACAAACTCTTCAAAAGGGCGGTTAAAGTTTAGTCTCCAAAACCTGTGCTTTTTAAAAATGCACCCTCTTTCAGAACAGTGGATTTGATTTATGATTCAAGAAATGGTCATAGTTATGTAACTTGCTGCTGTTGTGTTTTGAGTTGCCTGACCAGAGGAAGTTGTCTGCCGCTATCACACAAATTCTTTCTCTTTGGGAAGCGTGTGCTCTCAGAAGCTTTTTTTAAAATTTCCAAAACATATTTGGAAAATACTGTTTGTTACCTAGAACAAGCTTCTGAGATTATATGAACATTCAGAAAGAACTTGCACAAATAAAAATAGTTTTGAGTGTAGGTGCTGAGTTAGGGTAATAGTTTAAGTCAGTAAAATCAGTTCTTCTGCAGAAGCTCTTATAAAGCACTTTGGTTCAGGTGGATGCAAGAAATGGGGCATTCAGTTCCATTTTGTGTTTTTTTCCTTCTTGATTTTCTCAGTCATCACAATTGCAGGCTACTGTCCTTGGGATTTTTTTTGTGTGTGTGTTTGGTGAGATGTTTCTTCTGTTTTGCAATCTATATTCTAAATATCTGCGGGCACTTGTATTCCAAGATGCAGCCTGTGCA